GGGGGGGGGGGGTACAGTTTGATTCGTAAAAACTGGAGCATAAAATCGGGAGCCTCGCTAATTCGATGTTCAGGATCTTTAATTAGTCCTGCGCGAGACTAAGGTGCCGATTTGGTATCCTCGCGCGATCTGTTTCTACTCGTCGGAATTCATGATGTAGTTAGGCCCAACTCCTCCCTTCCCCTCGTTCGTACGGTGTATTTAGGCATTAGTCCCTCTCTCTCTCTCTCTCTCTCTCTGTTTGCCCGCATCCGGCACTTCCTTCCTCACTTTCCTCCTAGCTTTCCCTGACTTCCTCGTTCCCTTCCGAGCAGGAAATTGTTTCCTTCGATGCCTTTGGGACCGAAGCTCCCGCGTCTCTCTTCCTCTCCGGCAGCATCAAGAGAAGAAGGAATTAATCGACCATGGGGTCTCCCGATGGATACACCGAGGCGCATCGATCGGACACGGGGTGTAGCAGGGATTTAAGAAGAAATAAAGAAACCCGGAATCTGAATCGTGGCAGGAAATCCGCGAGTAAGTCCACTGACGGGAATTAAATTCTAAACGTTTCCGTCTGCTGCATTGAGATTCCCATTAAGCGAATAAGACCAATGGCTCTTCGGCTCTTTTCGACGCTTCGAATATTCCTGCATTTGGGTTATTTATTTGGAGAAATGAAGAACCACGCAGGTGCGTCGACTCGAGACTGCGACCGGAAAAGCCTAACTCACTTGTTTCATGTAATCGCACGAATTTCACTTAAAAAAGGATTGATGGTAAAATGAATTTTTTGTGAATTTCAGGATGCTGGGCGGCGTGGGAGGCCGGCACGTGTCTACGCGTCGGCGAGGCAGTAGCCCGCTGGTGCGTGGGGGTGCGGGCCTCGGTGCTGCCTACGGTGCCCCAGGTGCCCCAGGTGCCCCAGGTGCCCCAGGCTTTGGGACCGATGCCAGCATGGTGCCATCCGATGCCCCCAGATACACGAGGAGACGCCGGGCCGTTACCACCAGTGACCACAAGAGCTGTGCACTCATACAGACCAGACTCAAATTCGGCGACATCATGTGAGTAGACGGAATTTCTCTTTGGGGAGTCCACTTTTCTGTTTTATCAGTTTCCGCGTTATCTGCCGAGTCAAGTTGCCGACGTCAAGTAGCAGCTCGCTGCGAAGTACCTGTTCACGATCAGAGTGGTAGCTTCTAGGTCGGCAAAGAAGGACGTTCTTGTCCGACTCATCCCTTCGTCGGTTTAACAGGGCGCACGGAGATGGTTACCGACGTTGAGAAGCTTCCCTCACTCGCAGCATCCCCCTTTCGGTACAGAGCAATAAGACGGTGATATTGGACGAGGGAAACTCGATGCGTCTCTTCGCGTTTACCTCTTGGCCATTTCAGCTGATTTTACCTTGCGACAGTATAAAAGCACCTTTGACGATAACAATTTGGAGAATCCATGTCATTCAGCACATCCATTGTTGGGAATCGTTGCGTGATAGACGAGGCCACGCCGTAGCGTGTCCTTTAACGTGTAAAATGGTGCCAGCACTGCAGCCCCTATTAAAGTCCAATGTATCTAGAGGTCCGTACTCTGCGGATACACCGTATATGGTCTTGGTGCTATCGATCGGACTTTGATTGTTTGGCCATTATTTTATATTTTTAGCACGGCCTCTGTCGTTGCTCGTTACTAAATCTAATTACCCTTTCTCATGGGGTTAAGCGGGCGGCCCAGCCTCTTCGAGTCCGATCGGACGATCCAGTCCTCTGATCCTCTTCCACTGTGCACGTGGCCATTGCTAATGTGGTATTTACGAAAGGAGTCAAGAGCAGCGATCATCCACTCGAATGCAATGCATTAATGGGATGCTCCCGTGGCACCGAACTCTGGCTTCTCGCCTTATGGAGATATATATATATATATATATATATATATATATATATATATATATATATATATATATATATATATATATATATCTGGCCGGTCACTGAAGAGGCCATTTTGCAAATTGACAGAATCTCGGGATGCCGATTAAAGTTAGGGTCATCCCGGTGGCTCGAACGGGTCCGTAGCTTTGGGAAGAACGAGTCGACGGATTCCAGTGGACTCGAGTCGAGTCGAGTCTCGGGGGCGCCTGCCTGCTGCCGCCGTGAATCAATACCCGCATTGCGCGTGCCACCTCTCTGACTCTCTCGGCTGTTCCACCATTTTCCTCGCACTTTCCAGCCCTCGCGCCTCCCTCGCGCGCGACCCTCTTTCGCCTTGCGAGGCAGAGCGACCGTCGTGGAGAGAGAAAGTGACGAGCCTGAGACGCATAGGGACCTCGCGAGCGGAATTCGGTTGTCCCGCAAGAGCTGGGAAGTCTATCGAAACAGCCCTAAGCGGGTAGATGGAAAGAAAGCAGGACAATAACGAGGGCTGCCAGGACGGCCGCGACTTATAATTCTCTTTGGAGACTTTCTGAGTAATGGAGACCCGGGTAAACAATTTTCCATTTCTCCGCAGCGAAGAAGGGGCAGCTTCAAAAGTCTGATTCTCCAAATGTCTGGGCTTTGGATTTGTCCGTTGCGAAAGGCCGGGTAAAAAAGAAGAGTGCGCAAATGGCGGAAATGGCGAAAAAGTAATGGCTGCCCGAGGGGGGTTGCAGGTACGTAGACTGTGGAGAGTCCAGACTGATACTCTAGGGAAAGAATGAAACCTTATTATTCTATCCGATGTAAGGTGGAATAAATCCGCTCGGGGGTCGTTCGCGAAGCGTGCACACACATTCCATGCACAGCTATGTGTAATGAGATCTATCTAGGTACAGGCGCGCATGGGATACCGATGGAGGCAACGTAGCCAGCGTTGGGTTGGGTTGGGTTCGGATGACTTGACTACCGAAGCCACCACGATGTGCACGACGTGCACGACGTGCAAACCTCCGCAACATGAGATCTCAGCCCCGCAACGAGTCGGGGAGGTTGAGAAGGATGAGAAGGTTCAGAAGGTTGAGAAGGTTGGGAAGGATGACTGACAGACCACGATGGATCGCATGACTAGGGCAGGCTGGTGGAGCAGCGTCTCGGAGCCTGGTAGCTCAAGGGTTGAGGAGTGCTGCGACTGAGCTTGCAATCGAGGGGCAGTTGTCTCGATCTGCCGTAGTTCGAGGGGATGGAATGCGCGATCGGGGTAGCCCGTGCTCGATGGTTCTCGATGGTTCTCGATGGTTCTCGATGGTTCTCGATGGTTCTCGATGGTTTTCGATGGTTCTCGATGGTTCTCCATGGTTCTCGATGGTTCTGAATGGTTCTTTGCTGGGGTCAAACCAGTCCTCTCGCTCATGAGGGGATATTTTATCGCAAATAATTAGCCCACGGTCCGATGGATCGAACCTTGGGACGGTGTTTCGCGTGTAGCGAGGAAGATGCCGGCAGGTGGGAGGAGGGTGCCTTGGCTGGGGGTCGCAGGGCTCGAGGGACGTGACGTGTGTGTCGCACACAGAGACGGGTCAGCTGCCGGATCTGACGCTACGTACTGCATGACGTCACCCAGGCCACTTTGATCGATCAATCGAATGATCCGATTATAATATCGCAGGATGGATTATCGCGTCTCGCCAGACGAGCGTTTTCCGACGGCCAACCGACTGTCCCCCTCTGTCTTCGTGCGACCTAAAATTAGAATCCACGGAACATCATCGTTATCATTCCGCCATGACGGTCCGTGCTGTCGCACCGCTCGGTAGTCTTATCCCTCGCTTATTCCTACTGGGTGTCCAACCAGAAGGTCACTCGAGCGTTTGTCCATCCTCCGAGTTAAGGGATGATGATGTCCCCGAGGATAGGACTCGTTTCCTCTTTTAGGCCTATAGATTGTGACGGGATTTTTCGATTCAGGGTCACAAGGCGACACCGGGTACCGATACAGATAACGTTCTCGATTTCCGGTTCCCTTCGGGTCGCTACCCTACTCAGAAGCTGCGCTCTCGGGTTGATTCGTGCAGTTAGGCCAATGCTCTCGGGAGATTTCGTTATTGTTTAGTTGAGGTCGAGGTGCTCGAATCCGCCGTGGGGAGATAGTCTCGACGTACCCAGTTCCCCGGCAGAGGGGAGTACCCGACGGAGACGTCTCCGCGGGCCGGCAGAAGCCCGGGTGACATACCGGCGCCCCACTGGAGATGAGCAAAGGCCTGTAGAGTAGGCGGAGATCAGGTTTTGTTACGATTAAGGGTAGGGGAGGAACCCTCTGACCCGAGTTCAGGATGCGGTGCCCAACTGTCTCCCGGTGCCCTGGGGAGGATCTTCAAAAGTGTTACGTACCGATCCGCCAAGGAACGCTCTCGATTTGGTTTAAAGGGACGAATCGAGGAAGATGGAAGAGTTATCGGCTATAAGGATCTCGACCAATCAGATGATCAGAATGATTAGTTCTCGAATTTGGCTATTTTGTCGAAGCAGTCTGTCTCGGGGCACCGACCGACGTGTCACGGGCTGCCTCGCGCTCCCGTGCTGTCTGTTGACAGTTTTTCTAGTTTCGCGTCGATGCAATGTAGCAACTTCTCGCGTTGCTCTCGCGATATCCAGGAAATTCTATGGATTTCCTATGCGTGTTCCGGAAGTGCAGTGTCGTGCTCTAGTGCAGTGCCCACCCGAGGGTCCTTCGGATACGGTTCTTGGCCTTCTCGGATTAGCTGCACCAGCTCCGGTGAGTCTCCCGATTTATTAATTGACCAAGGGATTTCGATTTGATAGTTCAGATTCGTTCCGTTACGTTCTCGATTCGTTGCTCTCTGTATCTCAAAATAGGCTTCTCCAAGATAGTTCGTTCTCGGATTTTTCGCTATCGGTGTCGAGTTAAGGAAATAATACGTTACAAGATATAGTTTCCAGGGCATCCTCCTAGTTCTTCTGTAGGCATTATCTAGAGGAAGCGGCACTGGGCTCAGCGTGCAACGTGATCAAAACAAAGGTGGCCTATAGGGGTTGGCCGTTCCTCGCGTACGTGTAAATACGTGTGCAGTGTGCACACGTGTGCACACGTGCATAGCATGCACTTGCAGGAGGGTTGAGATACGTTGCGTGGGTGGGG